GCCTCCGGGGGAGCCCGTTACGCTCTACCTTCTTCCCTTGGGCTCGCTCGCGCCACCTGCAAAGGAGGGACTGAAAGGACAGGGGAGGGAGCGGCAGACGGGCGCGCACTTTAGAGCTCAGGTCCCACGGTGCAGCGGTTGCCGCCTCCGCGGCGGGGAGGGCCGAGGGGCGGAGCTGGGGCCCCACCGGCAGCTGCAGCCTCGCCGTGGCCTTAGCGGCACTGGGGGGGCAGCCTCTTGCCCCGACCAGCCTTCTTCCCACGCGTGGACTTGGAGCCGGCGGGCGGCCGAGCTCTGGGCTGGCCGCCCTTGGTCTGCGCCCCAGCGCCCGCGCGCCCCTTCCTGCTCTTGCTTCCTGCCGCCTCGTCCTGGGCTTCCGTCTCGGAAAGGATGCCCAGCCCGCCGGGGCCGCCGCCTCCCCCTCGGGTTCTGCGGGTCCCCGACGCGGCGGGAGCCGCTGCCCAGTCTGCCCGATCCGGGGCCCTAAAGGCTGGGCGGGCCCGCTTGGCCCGGGGCTTCCTGGACGCGCGGTCCTCGGACTCCGACTCCTCGCTCTCCACGTCCTCCGACTCCCTGTTCCCGCGGGCCGCCCGCAGCGCCAAGACCTCCGTTTGCAGGTGGTCCGAGGCGCAGCCACGGTGGAGATGCATCCCAGCAAGTGAGCGCCGTCTTTGGCCTTCCTCAGGACCACGGCGTCCACCTGGCGGCCTGCCTCCTCCACCTTCACTCGGGTTCCGGAAGTATCCTTGGCCATGACGGACAAGACCTCGGGCAGGGCAGCTTTCTTGTCGCTCCAGCCCAGGAACTCGATCACAGAAGCGATTTTCAAACATCTCGTCGCAGGCGGAGTGGTCCGCGGGGTCTGTACAAGGCACAATGACCACAAACTCGGGAATGTCCAACCCCCTCTTTCTTGATCCCCGTTTTCCTGAGACTCGCTTTGGGAGGCGTCGCTGCCCATGGTCTCCTCGTCCGACGCGTCTCTCACTGCGAGTAGGGCCACTAAGTCTGGAATTTCGCTCCGGTCTTCTTTGATGTTCAGGCTGATCGACTCAGCCCCAGGGGGATCGTTCTCCATCTTCCTCTTCTTGGCTTTGTCCGTCACCGTTGCCAGGGCCAAGAACTCGCCGGGACCGTTCCATCATCTCCTTCCCTCTGGAGGGCCCACTTCCTAACAGGCTCCTTCGCCGCGGGCTGGAGGGTGGCGTACAGCGCGCTCTGTTCGCCATCCCCGCTCAAGTCCTCCTTGCCCATCTCCTCGATCGTGATACCCAGGCTCTAGTCGGAAGAGTTTGGGACTCCTGCTCCCCGACGTGGATGGCCGCCCTCCACGCCCCACTTCTGGCCCACCTGCTGCTTCTGGTTCTGTTTCTGCGACCCCGACGGCCCCTCCTAGCATCTTTGGCTGCACCAGGAGCGGGGCCAGCCTCCCTGACCCCCGGCTCCGACCCCAGAGCCAGGGTCTCCGAAGCGGGAGGGGTGGGCGTGTCCCCGGGGGCCCTGGCCACTGCGGCCTATGGGGGCCTTTTATCCAGCAGCAAGCGTTTCATCTGCCTCAGGACTCTCGTGCCCTCCGCGCTGTCCTTGCACAGAATCCTCCAGACGCCGTCCTTGCCCGGGATCTCCTTGGGAATGGCACTGTGATTAATGCTCTTCACAAACTCCATCAGGGAGGCCTTGGCCTTCTCGTCCCTCATGGCCCGCGTGTTCCGCAGCCTGAACTTGCCCAGGGGCAGCAAGGCCGGCTTCAGGACGGCTTCGATGGCTGTCTGCTCCAGGTCCTCCGGGATGCCGGTGACCAGCAGGGCCCTGTGCACGTCCACGGCCAGCCCCCTGCACCAGTCCCCCAAAAGGCTCATGGCCACGGTGCCGCCGCTGGCCCTGACAGCGGAGCAGGAGGGAGCCCGAGGCGGACGTGGGCTGCGGTCCCCTGTGCAAATGCCACTCTAGAACAGCGCCACAGGGCTTGGAGTTCAGG